ACGCACACGCACGCACACACACACACACACACACACACACACACACACACACGCAGACACACACACGAGCCCGCCTGCAGCTCATCTACGCTAAGCCAGCACACCGCGGCGACGACGGCAGGACGGGACTTACAAACTGCGCCGACTTGCGCGTCATGTTTTTGATGCGGTCCTCCGTGAAGGCGCAGTTGCTGTGGTGCGCCTGCGACAGCGTCAGGATGATGTCGTAGATGGCCAGCTGTTTCGCCTCGAGCTCCGTCTGCACGGGCTCCCCCGTCGTTGACACGCGCCGCTCCTGCTCCTCCTTCTCCTTCGATCGTTTCGGCACGCGACCGTACCGCACGGCTGCAAAGGCAACGTCCCCCCTTATTAATTGCTTCCGCCAAGGAGTTTGTTGTTTTGTTTGTTTGTTGTTTTGTTTGTTTGTTGGTTTGTTTGTTTGCTTGTTTGTCTGTCAACAGGATATCTCAAAAAGTTACGGACGGATTTTGATGAAAATTTTTGGACGGGTTGGTCTTGGGCCAAGAACCAATCGATTAGATTTTGGTGGTGATCCGAATCCAGATCTGGATCCAGGATTTTTTGGGGGGGATCTGGAGCAAGATGGGGGGGGGACTGTTACGCTGTGGCGGAGGTTTGCTATCTCCGATTGCTCTTGTTCCTAAAGCACGCGACCGTACCGCACGGCTGCAAGGCAACGTCCCCCTTATTCATTCTCTCATCAATCATCAGCCTAGTCAGTGAGTCAGTGAGTCGCTACCGTATGCAACTATACACGCGTGCTGGACTATGCGCGTCCTGAGGATTAGCGAGCTTGCGGCGACCGGGAGCGCAGGCACTTGGGCCGTTACAGTAAAATATTGCTGGTGTCGTTCACGAGGATGACATTCTCGAGAATGTCCCCAGATGCATACACTGTTACACTGCACACCGATGTACGTATGTCAGTATGATGCGATTGATTGTCGTGGGTTACGCAAGTGTCATTGGCTTAACAGTTGTGGCTCCGGGGTTGTTGTCGTGGGTTACGCAGTTGCCATGGGATACGCGGTTGCCGGAGGATACGCAGTTGTCGCGGGTTACACGGTTACAATGGGTTACATGGTTGCCATAGGATACGCGGTTGCCGTGGGTTACACGGTTGCCATAGGATACGCCGTGGGATAGGCGGACTTACAGTCTCTGCTCATTCCGACGGCGAGACACTTCTTGAAGCGGCAGTACTGGCATCGGTTGCGATTGAGACGCATGACGAGACACTTTCCATCTCTGAGACACCTGTACTCAATCTGTTTCTGGATGCTCCGTCGAAAGAAGCCCTGTATAAACGTAATTGATCAACGTTAGCTCACCTACACATATACGTACACGAACGCACACACTCACACANTTATCTGATCCGGGCTGATCGCGCTCAGCTCGAAAGGAGGCAGATCAGTCGCTCAGTCGATCGTCAGGGTCCGGGTTATCGTGGGAATGCAACACTGATCGACCCCGTTCTGGATCCACCAGATCTCATCTGATCTCATCTGATCTGATCTGGGCTGATCGCGCTCAGCTCGAAAGGAGGCAGATCAGTCGCTCAGTTGATCGTGGGGACAGGCAAGGGTGCCATGCACTGACCGACAGTCAGGGACATCGTGGGGACAGGTAAGGATGCCACGCACTGACCGATCAGCAGGGCCATCGTGGGGACAGGTAAGGATGCCACACACTGACCGATCATCAGGGCCATCGTGGGGACAGGTAAGGATGCCACACACTGACCAATCATCAGGGGGTCAGTGTGTGGCATCCTTACCTGTCCCCACGATGGAATCATCAGGGCCATCGTGGGGACAGGTAAGGATGCCACACACTGACCAATCATCAGGGCCTGGAGACAATACAAAACCCAACCTATTATCACGCAATTGTTGACGGGAAGGACAGTGGGCACGGGTGAGGTTCACACAGGCCCACCAGGGGGAGTGCAGGAGGTATTTGTGATGTCACTATGTCACGCTGTGTCACAGTGTGGCTTAATCAGGTAGAGAAAACACCGACGCAATTATATATATAATTAGTCGTACGTATACAGAGCGCACTGCTGCTGCCACTGTGCACACTCACGCGTGCGTGCGGTCGCTAATGACCATATTCATTCAGCTTCATCTCAGATATAGATGCTGCACACGCACGCACGCGCGCGCGCATGCACGAATTCAGCCATTACATGCCGCAATCAACAGCTGCAATTGGATTTTCTTCCCCGGAGCAAAAAAACGCATTGCAGAATTACAGTTTTTTTAAACATACCATCTACTTCATCATGAGAAATTGTCTAAAAAAAACAATGTTAGAAGGTATGAAGAATGTTATTTATTTGGAGTCCTTTTATAGCAGATGCAATGTAGACTGACAATAGAAAAACGTTATATAATGATCGTCCAGCAGGGGAGATACGGTACCGCAACTGTGTCAGCACGTGCGCGTGTGTACGTCTGCGTACGTACGGACGCGTGCAATGAAGCTTCAGCATAATAAACTTAGTATATGTCTATGAGGCATGTTTTATCAAGATATTTTAAGCGGCTGTATTATGTTAAAGTGGGCAAGAATGCCACTCTAATATATATATATATATATATGTATATGGATATATTTCTCATCTAACCAATGTTTTTGTCATATTTTCATTCAGTTGTTTTCGTTTTCTTTTAAATATTTAAATCTCAAAATAGAAATCAAGTAACAAAGGTTATGTGTTGCGCTAACATACGCGCTCCAGCGCCTCATTGTTTACTCATCGTACGCACGCACGCACGCACGCACGCACGCACGCACGCACACACACAGCACTATCCACCACAGCTATGCACCATAGCTATCCACTACAGTTCCCTAAACTTCGTGCCTAACAGTTAACTATACAACGCAGCTAGCCAGTGGTACGCCCCCTCCCGTCATCACAGCAGCAGCAGCAGCAGTGTACGGCAGTGGTACTACCCC